TCTCTCTCTCTCTCTCTCTCTCTCTCTCTCTCTCTCTCTCTCTCTCTCCCCCCCACTCTCTTTCTCTCTCTCTCCCCCCGAGAAAGGAAAACAACCAACCGCAGATGCACAAGTATCGATGCTCAACTGTTAATGATATAGTAAATATCGGAGTCCTTGGCGATATCACAGCACTTATCAGAGTAAGGAAGCAATGGTGTTAGCTCAGGTCTAGAAGGCACTAGCCTGGTCATACAACTACCTACCTGCATTTGTCCTAGCAGAGCACAGACGTAACACCAGGAGGGGGGGGGGTTAGTGCGCATAGAGAGACCAAGCGCTGCCAGGAAGAGCAAGTGCAGTGTAGTCACACTGTTTATATGACCAGTCACGTTCAGCTGCAGAGCAGAAGGAACTTGGGTTCGAACACTGGGTTAGGTTTTGTAAGGGGGGGGGGCACAGATCACCGTTAATTCACCATCGCCGTACCTTATGGAACTCTGGCAGTCCTTGCCTCGACGACCTCGCGCGAAGCTTGACCGCAACCATCTGCCCATCGCCGAGGACCCCCTTATAGACTGGCCCGAAGCCCCCCGCACCTATCCGTAGAGAAAATCTCTCTGTCACCTGCTTGAGATCGTGCAGCGTGAAGACGACCAGGCCCAGGTTGAAATGCTTCATCCCCTCTTGAGGACCTGCTCAGAGAAAAAAAGTGCACCAGCCCAGCCCAGCCCAAGTACGTACACCCTCACCACGTCATCGCCACATCATCGCCACATCACCAACCCATCATTACTGACTATGACCATAATATTTTTCAATAAACCAAAAAGCAAGAGCCTGGCAAAATACAAAAATGCCCTCAGTTAAACCACCAGTACGTTTGAACCTGCCCTTGCCGAGCCTGGAAACGCCAAAAAGCACGCCAAAACGAAGAACCGAACCAGCGTGGGCCTTCTCTACTTTTGGCCACATGCACGTTGCGTAGGTGCGAAATGGCTGACCGCTGAAAGAAGAACCACCGTGGGCCTTCTTTCGGCACGCTAAAAAATGGCGCCGCCAGTCATTTTGGTCCGGTAGGCTGACCCCCGAAATTTGCGCCCACATGCACGTTGCGTCGGCGAAAAATGGCTGGAAAACTGCAAACGTACTGCTGGTGTAAGCAACTGTTTCACAGTTATAATCCAAAAGCACATGTCTCCGTATGGGACGCTGGGCCCGATTCCCAGCAGGTGCTGCTCCCCTCGCATAGATTTGAGCATTTTTTGAGGGGGGGAAATTTAAAAATGAAAAAAATAAAATAAAATGATGGAATATGGTCTCATTTGGAGCATTGGAATTTCCTACTCTGTGACTTGGTGGCAAGTTTGATTAAAATGAACCCCTTGGATTTTGTTATAAATGGCATCACAAGTTGTCTGAAACATTAGAAATTAGGGCCTCCGTTAGCCGCCTCTCCTTCACAGTTAACCCCCCAGCTCCCTGGGGTGGTCAATGCTGGCAGCTGTGTCTGAGTTATTGGGCTGACATAGGTCAGCATTCTGAAAATTTAATATATCACGGGACGCTGGACCCGGTTTCCAGCAGGTGCTGCTCCCCAACAACAGCATGATGGAGCTGTGTCAAAAAAAAAAAAAAAAAAAAAAAAAAAAAAAAAAAAAAAAAAAGAAAGGGAAAAAAAAGGGAAAAAAAAAGAGGGCCTGGTGTGAGTATGCCCTAAGTATTACCAGGTTACAACAACCGATTTGTTTCTTTTTTAAAGTTTTTTCATTCTGACTTTTGCGAACGACAACAGAATCGAACAGATTTGTTTCTTTTTTTCATTCTGACGTTTACGGACGACTTCTCGTCCACTCTTCCCTCCTGCTTTGCAGTTGACCTCTCCTCATTCTACAGATCTAATGCGCACTGACACTGACACTGACACTGACAGCATCTACTGCTTATCAGGTCAGAAGGGATTCCTTTTAGAAAAGAAAAAAGGGGAAAAAGAGAGACAAAGAAGAGGAGAGAAAGAAAGGTCCATGTCAACATTGTTGTTCATATACAAAAAAAATATAAGTGTATTACCACTGTCTACTTGGCTCTACTATAGACTATACAGTATTATATTTATTATTTTAATATTTTTATTTTTATAATATTTATGAGTTATCTAGGCTGTTTTTCCAGGTGCCCCGACACCCAACTTCCGTGTGTGTGTGTGTGTGTGAGTGAGAGAGAGAGAGAGAGAGTTATGAGATTATGACCGTGTATAGTACACTGTATACTGTGATAAAGAAGTGATTTTGGATTTGGCGGGACCACGGGGACTGGGCGGGGGAGGGGTAGGGAGGGGGTGTGGAGGAGGAAGGGGGTTATAAATGGGGTTTTAAGGGGTTTAAAAAGGAGTAGGGATTTTAACTTTTAACTCTCAAGGGTTTTACAAAAGGGCATACCTCAATCTAAATTTTATTTTATTTATTTTTAAGTTTTTATCTTCCATTTACTATGGAGTTCCAATGTTGTATAAAAGAGTCCCTTACCTAAGGGGTCCCTTAAAACCTCTTAAAAGGGGTTATAACTTTTAAAGTTATAATTTTAAAAGGGGTTTAAGAGCGTGTAGGGGCTTTATAACTTTTAAGGGGTTTAAAAGGGTGTACCTCAATCAGACGACGTTTGTTGTATTGCAATTTTCGGATTATTTTCCACAACATATATATTCTTTTTCCCCGATCCTTTTTGGATAATTTTGATTTCCTGATGGAGTCATATGGGACCTGGCCCGGGACCTACGGCAGTCGGGCCATCCAGGCAACTGACATCCTTTAAGAAATTTTAGAAAAATGAATTCTCAGCTTTAGTCAAAGGTTGACCTTTGGGTCAGTCATGCGTCATCTTGACTAAGGGCATGCTGACCTTATATATGCGACCTTATAATAGCTTATATACAATATATTATGATTATAATATAATAACTATGATTATAATATAATAACTATGATTATAATATAATAACGATGTATTTGAGAAGTGGTGCCAGCCTCCACAGCATCTACACATAACACGATTCTTCACTGATTTTGAGCCTCGGCGCAGCACTCATCTACCACATGCAAAAAAGACAAAAACTATGGCTTGCACCTTTCGATGTTCTTGGTGAAGATTCATTCTCACTTTGGACATTTTTGGTGAGTGGCGGGGCCAGGTCCATCATCACAACTGCTTTCTGGGTATTGCCTTTAACTTCTTCTCGTTACTCTTATTATATGCTGGCCTTTTTTAAAAGAACAATGAGAAACATGAATGCTTTTAGTGTGCCCTTCATGTTCGTCTTGTTTTTTTTTTTTTTTATATAACTTATTTAATGGTTCGTTTCGCAAAGTGCACTCTTTTAGTTCACAGATATGTTCAGCCTCCTGATGAGTCGGTGAAACTCCGATGAAACAGTTCGTCACAGCCCCTCGTTTGCTGTCTATCGTCACATATATATCGTCACAAATAGAATATATATATGCAGGCCTGCAGGCCTATATGAAAACATACTTTCAATTTCATTTCTCAAAATTTATTTCTAATTTTCTATTGAAAAACTCAATTCTGCGTCTTCTGACTTTTATGCAGGCCTATAACGGTACTGAAAAGCAACACTTTCATTTCCGTTGATTCTATAGATAAATTCTGACGGTCGGCACAGGGCAGACAGAACCTCTGACACGACTCTTGTGACCAGCGGGCCTAGCTCAGACAGCGGCGGGATAAATCCGATAAAGTCAATTCTGACAGTCGGTACAGCGCAGAGTCGCAGGCAGACAGAACCTCTGACGCAACTCCAAAGCAGAGATCTCGTCAGAGCCGAGGCTTCCAACCAATAAGACGCCTCTTGTCAGCAGCGGGTCTAGCGCAGTTGGTACACCCAACGAACTGTTAAAATACAGACCCAAGTTCAAATCCAGATCCAATCAGACTGAAAGACGCCTCTAGCCGTAGCAAATCACCTTCGAGGGTCCCCATGCCCATAGACACCCCCAAGTGGAGGGGACAGAAGAGTGAGGGCATGCCCCCCCAGTGATGCTATGTTGATCAGCTAGAGAAGCATGAACCTACCCCCCTTTTCGACCAGGTTCATTGTCAGAGAGAAAGCAAACCAGGGGGAGGCTCACTGGCGCTATCAGCTAAGTGACAGGGAACCCGGCCATGGCCGAGATTCATTGGGAACATTGATAGATCTTCTCCTGAAGTGTGTGAATGCTCTGCAGGCGCCACTTCCTTGGGTCTGATGAGCTTGCAGGCCGGTATCCCTATAGAAAATACCATCGCCATCGTTGTCCGGGCACTGGAATCTGTATTGTGTGCTGTTGCTGACCAAGGTACATCGAGAGCGGAGAGTGTGTTCCCTTGCCTTGTGAACACAGCGATGAACAACTCTGACTTCCGCCTTATGATGACGATGATGATGACGATGATAACGATGACGATGACGATGACGATGACGATGAGGGTAGAGAAGAGAGAAGATCGTGAGGAAGACGAGGGTAGAGAAGAGAGAGGATTGTGAGGAAGACGATGAAGAATATGTCGTCGAAGTTGAGGGGACATGGGTAGTGTTTAGTGGGTGTTAGGCATATCAGGTAAAGGGGCTTCTTTGTCGTCGTCTGCATGGGATGAGATGAATACTCAGCTCTGTTTCTTGGAGGCTTCCCAGATTGGACGGATGTCGCCGTCCTGCGCTAAGCGACTGAACGTTCGCATCAGGTAAAGGGTCAGGTTGTTTACAGGTATCACACAGGCGACCGATTGTCTTCAAGGCGGCATGGGCGGCCTATTTCTGCAGTGCTCGGGAGTTGTGCATTATCTGTGGCATCAACTATCATTTCCGCAGTCGGAACGGCAGCAGCAGGGGCTTTCTTGATGTCAGCTATGGCCAGCAGGGGGTGCAATGCAAGGAAGTAAAAACAAACTATAACTTCGGCAGACGTTCCCAACTCCGACACGAAAGCGGATGGGCAGGTGATTACAGAACTGATAAAATATTTGATAATTTTGATTATAATTCACCAATAAACTGCAGATCTTTTTTTTTTTTTTTGGGGGGGGGGGGGGGGGGGGGGAGGAAGACCAGCCTTTGCCTGGCAGGAGGGGTGATGCGAGCAGACCCTGTTACAAGGCCCACGCTGGACGCTCCTTTCTATTGGTGTGGAGCTTCATCTGCTGGAAATGGGGTCCGGAGTCCCTTGAACTGCACCTCATCGCGGAAAGGAGTCAGGTGGATGATGTCTGGTTCAGCGTTAGTGCCCATCCATAGGAGTGCCAACGTGCCCGGCGCTAGACTATTCAACATTCGGCACAGTATCTGGACTGTTTTATGGACCAGATACATTCAGATTTCGACGTAGTGGGACAATTACCAGATCCAGATACATTTAGAACATCATGAAGTGGAGCGAGGCCGGTGTTGCGAAGTGCCATCTGCAGCGTAAATTTCCGTGTTTGATACTATGAAGTAGTATGAACTGTTTAATTTTTTGCAAATTTGCAATGTATTGGGACAATTACCAGCTCCAGATACATTTAGAACACCATGAAGTGGACCGAGTCCCATGTTGCTCTACATCTGACACTCTGAGCACGTCAGAACCATGTGAAACAGTCCATTTCCTTTGTTTGACTGATAGCCCTTCCTCTTCCCTTGTCCTTTTTTTGACTGATAGTCCTT